AAAGAGGGCGATGTGATTATCTATTCATGGTTCCCAGTGATTCTAGAATCTAGACTTGTTTACTACTGTCAAGATTTTAAATAAATTACCGGTAGTGAATACAAATAGAAAAGCATTTCGTTTAATTATCTACCACATAATGATGGCAATAATTTAATTACTTATTTATTGCCTAAATAATCGTTTCGTTTATTAAGACCCATTAGTGATTCATAATTACGAATTTGAGTGTCTCCCACTGTGGTAATTTGTTATAATCGGTTTGAAATGTGAAAAAGGTGGTCGTGATATTCATAATTTATTATTCATGCATAATCAATCTGAATTAATTATTCAAGCCCAATCACTAATCTTTCTCTATCTGTTAGGGAATTTTCGGTAGTTAATCACATACACCAACTAATTATCGTCTATGGCGTGATTTCCACTATTTTTCTTTGTGTTTAATAAAGAAATACGAATGACTGACTCCAGTCTTTGATCTAGTCTTGGTAATGGCAAAAAATCCCAGCCTGATGCAGACAGAAGTAATCAAAGTATGAACAGGCAACTTTACATAAATTTGGCAAAGCAAAATTTGTATTTTTATACGATAGTTAGGCACGTTACAATTAAAAATCATCTTTAAATATGCTGACCATCAGAAAAACTGTCTTGTTTGAAAAATCTGCAACTGGTAATGTAAAAAAAACTACGCATAGTATGTATAAAAGATACCATTCGATGAAGATTAAAATAAATAAGAATTTAATTGATTCGTTGTTTCACTAATTTCTCATTAGATATGTACACTAAATTTAAGCCAAGTTGTTGAACAAGATGTGTTAAGCAACACTTCTAGGATAAAGCGGTCCAATTCTTCTTGGGACTTCATCATCTCCTTAGTTAATGGTAGTTTGGGGTTATACTTATCTTTGAAACAAATCTATTATTTCGAAAACAGTTCATCTGGACAAAAAGGAAGTAGATGCTGAAGTGCTTTAATGTAGGTTGAATAAGGTGATATGTTGTTTGAGTTTATCATTTCATCACTGATCCCATCTAACTGATCACTCTCTATCGACATAAAAGCTGCTGCGTGGATGTCCCAACAGTGCATATATATTCAGTTTCGATACAAATTACAGATAGTGGTTAGCAGTGGAATCCAGGACACGCGTTTCTTCCCAATCGAGACTCGTCAGCCCTATGCATTTGTTTCCATGCGATCGATGTTGCTCTCACTAGAACTTGAAGCCGGGACCAGTCGCTTCAAACACCAGAGATTGTCTTGGATTCCACTACTAGCCATTATCCAACATTAAAATTATGATGGAAATAGCGGCAATGTCGAGGAATCCGCACAAAAGTCCATAAACGAACAAAGACGGATCAGCTCGGTGGAATCAATGACAGGCTAATACAAGCAATATCAAATAAACCATACCATTGCACTAGAAGTAACCAGTGTGAACTGGTGGCCTAATGGAAGACTATACAAAGTATGAAGCAGTCGGTCCAGGGGTCAAGTCTCAGTAGAAACAACATTACTCACTCGAAGAAAAGTGCATCTGGGTGACGAGCCCTAAATAGTACAAGACGTGCGTCCTGGATTCCATTGCTCATGACAATCTATCACCAATATGAATAGAATGAAGTGACAGTTTACAGTAAAATATATCTGGGATAGAGATAATTTTTATTTAATTTTGGGACTAAGACTGAAAAATGCTGGAAATGCTGATACCGCGTCCTGTAATCCATAGGCGTCTTTTAAAATATTTAATTATATGATTTGTTTTTTCTGTGACGTTTATTTCCGAAAGAAGGTGCAAGACAACCAGCAACTAGCTATAGAAGGGTACATATCAGAAACCCACATCAGTTAAAAGCCACTGAAAATCTATAAGCAATATACAGCTGTTCCGTCCTGCTATGAGGTATATCAGCAGTGCATATCCATGATATCATATCTCACACGAGACCCGAAGGTTTGAATTCAATCCCTGGTGGCTTTGTTGAAGCGCAATGCAGAGGATCCTCATATCAGAAAGAAACAGGTATTCAGAGTTCCTAATTATTAAACAGTTTGCCGGCTGACGTCATTGTGTTAAATATCACATTAAAATCAAACCTCTAGACGGAAACCTATCCTCGAAGTCTCTTCAAGTATCGGCTTAAGTATGTGTATCTGCTAAAATGAGATGACATAAGATGGTTATTTGTGAAACTTCATCTGCGTTCTCTATGATTTTATAGCACATATATATTCTGAACTTATTGCCATACGAAATAATATCTTCAAAACATGATAGTTAATAAAGTAATAAGGGTAATAATAGACTATCTTCCGACTTCAAAGAAAACTGGAACCGTTTGAAAGAGAAGTGGAAGGAATTCTGCACAACCGTGTTAGGAAGGAAGAAGAAACAAGAGAAGGAATGGATCTCCACAGATACATGGAGGCTGATAGAGCAGGAGGGGAAGATGGTGAAGCAGAAAATGAACCAGTACAGTACAGAGATAAACAACGAAAAGAGGAAGTGAACACGTTTGATAAAACACTACACTGGACAAAGAAGTGAAGAAGAGTGCACGCAAACACAAAAGACACTTCTACGACACACTGGCAAGTGAAGCAGAACAGGCTGCATGTAAGGGAGACAGGGACCTGACAACATTATATCAAACAACCAGGTTACTCTCTGGGAGGGAAGAGATCGACACAGACGAAACCAGTGAAAGATAGTGAAAGAAACTAAGTTACCAAGGAGAGTGGAGAAACGAAGGAAACGATGGGCTGACCACTTCAAAAAACTCTTGAACCGACCACCACTACCACCTACAACTCGTCCAGAAATACTACCAGCAGCTCATCCGCAGAACTACCAGTGAACACAAATCCTCCAACAAAAGTCGAAGTCCTGAGCTCCATAAAGCTACTGAAATGTGGGAAAGCAGCAGGATCAAATGGAATCCCGCAAGAAGCACTGAGAACAGACGTGGAGACAACGGCGGACATGCTCACACCACTATTGCAGAAGATATGGAAGGAAGAGAAGGTATCTGCAAATTGACTGGAAGAAGGGTTACCTTGTCAAACTGCCGAAGAAAGGCGACGGGAGTGTTTGCAAGAACTGGGGCGGAATCATGCTCCTGTCCACGGAAAGCAACTGAAATATTAATCCGCATTATCTTGGAGAGATTCAAGGATGCACTGGATTCAAAACTACGACCGGAACTGGCTGGCTGGCTGGTTGGCTGGATTGAGGAAGAACAAATCATGTGTGGACCGGATTGCATGGCTTTGCATCATCATAGAACAGAGTATAGAATGGCAGTCAACTTAACTCCACCTCAACTTCATCGACTTTGAGAAGGCGTTTGACAGCGTCGACAGAGCGGTAATTTGGAAGCTGCTTTAATACTAAGGAATACCACAAACATTAATCCGCCTCATTCAGCAACCATATGAAGACGCTACATGCGAAGTAATTCACAATGGGAAGCTGAGTGATGCTTTTGAAGTGAAGACAGGAGTGAAACAAGGTTGCCTACTATCCTCCATGATATTCCTGATTGTGATCGACTAGATCATGCAGCAAACATTTGGGAGCAAGAAGAGGGGGATACGCTGGTCTGCCGAAAAGAAACTAGAGGACATGGATTTCGCTGATGACTTGTGCCTGATGTCACATAAACTTGAAGATCCACAGGTGAAAACTAATAAGTTGGCAGAAGATGCAGAACAGAGAAGATGGGACTTCCTTCAGGTGAATGTAGAGAAGACAGAGGTGATGAAGATACCCAACCAACAACAACATCAACACACACCAATCAGCATCAACAGGAGAAATCTAGAGGAAGTGGTTTGTTTCAAATACCTACCTAGGCATCACTGTTTCAACTACAGGCGGTGGCAGCGGCACAGACAACGACGTCAAATCCAGGATCGGAAAAACAAGACAAGCCTTCATTTACCCGAAATCAGTGTGGAGCTCTACTGCACTCCACTCAGCATTAAGCATGAAAGAGATTCGGATTTTCAATACCAATGTCAGTTAAGTCAGTGCTTCTATGTGATGATTCAGAGACTTGGTGCGTTACGGAAAGCATTTCTAACAGACTACGGACATACATCAACAGCTGACCACGCTCGATACTGAAGATCAGATGATCAGAATAATAAGAATAAGCAACAAGGAACTGTGACTGGCAACGAACCAAACAAGAACTCATCACCCAACAAATATGCAGAAGAAGGAAGTGGAGATGGATTGGACTGGACATACACTGAGAAGACCATTTAGGGACATCATGCGCAGGACCAGGCCAGGCCATCGAGTGGAAGCCAGACGGGAAACGATGAGTTTGACGTTCTAGGGTAATATGGAGATGGTGTGAGAAAGAAATGAAAGCTTCTGAGTAGTCGTGGAGCCAGGTTAGAAAAACTGCTAAATAGAGAGTGGAATAACGACGTGTTACTGAAGGCTTATGTTCCTCTAGGGACCCAAAGCACGTGTAATTAACATCAAATACTCTGTGAATACAGCACCTGATAGCCTGGTTTCGAAGCTCTGATAGGATTTGAATTCGCATGAAGATTTATACGTGTCGATTTGATGAAGGCCAATATGTGTCAGATTTTGGTACAGAGCATCTTGCTGATATACCTCAACCAAATCACTTCAGATTTATGAAATAATTGCATCTTGCAAGGCCTTTCTTGTCAACAATCATGAAGGAAATTAATTATTTTAAATTGAACTATTTGTGGCTCATTTCACGATACACTGAATTTTCATGACAATAATTATTCATTCGTTTATACTTAATAATTCTAATCAAATAGGGATATCTTGTATTTCATTCATCCAATTGAACCTATCCAATCTGATCAGAATAATAACGACAGTAATATTAATTCATCCAATGGGATTTCTGTGTTACACATTGTTTCCATCCGAGACATAATAAAATAACCAATCAATGTTAGGCAGCTGTATAAACCTTTCAACATCTTCAGAATTAAAAGTGTTTCACAAAATCCAGCGCGTTTTAAAACCTAATTAATTTCACGCTAAAAAAAGGATAAGACTTTGATAGGATAAGATCAGGAGTTCTACATCATAAATTTTAATATTAAATAGGACTTTGTCAATTGACAATTAAGTATTGTGAAATTTATAAACGTTAACTCAAAACAATTAAACAAAAAATACAGCCTTGAAGAAAATATGTCAATTTTGGGAAATATCAGAAATTTCTTCGGTCACGTCGGGGAGAATTTAAATAATACATTTCGATCACCGGGAAGGCTTACAAGAATGAATTCAAGTTCTGGAAATGATTCACGTTCAATGGTTGGTAAGTGAACAATATCTTTTTCTTCTTAAAGATACGTATATTCTAAAACACTTCATTGATATATTGTAAGCTGAAGCGATAGGAATAACCCTAGTTCATACATTTATTCGGTATCCTTTTCTTACAAACGGAAAGACGGTCTGTTATTCATATAAACTGGCTAAGTAGAATTTGAGACTAAAGAATTATTACTACCATTTATTATTCGTGTTTTGGGTCCCTAGAGGAACATAAGCCTTCAGTAACACGTCGTTATTCCACTCTCTATTTAGCAGTTTTTCTAACCTGGCTCCACGACTACTCAGAAGCTTTCATTTCTTTCTCACACCATCTCCATATTACCCTAGAACGTCAAACTCATCGTTTCCCGTCTGGCTTCCACTCGATGGCCTGGCCTGGTCCTGCGCATGATGTCCCTAAATGGTCTTCTCAGTGTATGTCCAGTCCAATCCATCTCCACTTCCTTCTTCTGCATATTTGTTGGGTGATGAGTTCTTGTTTGGTTCGTTGCCAGTCACAGTTCCTTGTTGCTTATTCTTATTATTCTGATCATCTGATCTTCAGTATCGAGCGTGGTCAGCTGTTGATGTATGTCCGTAGTCTGTTAGAAATGCTTTCCGTAACGCACCAAGTCTCTGAATCATCACATAGAAGCACTGACTTAACTGACATTGGTATTGAAAATCCGAATCTCTTTCATGCTTAATGCTGAGTGGAGTGCAGTAGAGCTCCACACTGATTTCGGGTAAATGAAGGCTTGTCTTGTTTTTCCGATCCTGGATTTGACGTCGTTGTCTGTGCCGCTGCCACCGCCTGTAGTTGAAACAGTGATGCCTAGGTAGGTATTTGAAACAAACCACTTCCTCTAGATTTCTCCTGTTGATGCTGATTGGTGTGTGTTGATGTTGTTGTTGGTTGGGTATCTTCATCACCTCTGTCTTCTCTACATTCACCTGAAGGAAGTCCCATCTTCTCTGTTCTGCATCTTCTGCCAACTTATTAGTTTTCACCTGTGGATCTTCAAGTTTATGTGACATCAGGCACAAGTCATCAGCGAAATCCATGTCCTCTAGTTTCTTTTCGGCAGACCAGCGTATCCCCCTCTTCTTGCTCCCAAATGTTTGCTGCATGATCTAGTCGATCACAATCAGGAATATCATGGAGGATAGTAGGCAACCTTGTTTCACTCCTGTCTTCACTTCAAAAGCATCACTCAGCTTCCCATTGTGAATTACTTCGCATGTAGCGTCTTCATATGGTTGCTGAATGAGGCGGATTAATGTTTGTGGTATTCCTTAGTATTAAAGCAGCTTCCAAATTACCGCTCTGTCGACGCTGTCAAACGCCTTCTCAAAGTCGATGAAGTTGAGGTGGAGTTAAGTTGACTGCCATTCTATACTCTGTTCTATGATGATGCAAAGCCATGCAATCCGGTCCACACATGATTTGTTCTTCCTCAATCCAGCCAACCAGCCAGCCAGCCAGTTCCGGTCGTAGTTTTGAATCCAGTGCATCCTTGAATCTCTCCAAGATAATGCGGATTAATATTTCAGTTGCTTTCCGTGGACAGGAGCATGATTCCGCCCCAGTTCTTGCAAACACTCCCGTCGCCTTTCTTCGGCAGTTTGACAAGGTAACCCTTCTTCCAGTCAATTTGCAGATACCTTCTCTTCCTTCCATATCTTCTGCAATAGTGGTGTGAGCATGTCCGCCGTTGTCTCCACGTCTGTTCTCAGTGCTTCTTGCGGGATTCCATTTGATCCTGCTGCTTTCCCACATTTCAGTAGCTTTATGGAGCTCAGGACTTCGACTTTTGTTGGAGGATTTGTGTTCACTGGTAGTTCTGCGGATGAGCTGCTGGTAGTATTTCTGGACGAGTTGTAGGTGGTAGTGGTGGTCGGTTCAAGAGTTTTTTGAAGTGGTCAGCCCATCGTTTCCTTCGTTTCTCCACTCTCCTTGGTAACTTAGTTTCTTTCACTATCTTTCACTGGTTTCGTCTGTGTCGATCTCTTCCCTCCCAGAGAGTAACCTGGTTGTTTGATATAATGTTGTCAGGTCCCTGTCTCCCTTACATGCAGCCTGTTCTGCTTCACTTGCCAGTGTGTCGTAGAAGTGTCTTTTGTGTTTGCGTGCACTCTTCTTCACTTCTTTGTCCAGTGTAGTGTTTTATCAAACGTGTTCACTTCCTCTTTTCGTTGTTTATCTCTGTACTGTACTGGTTCATTTTCTGCTTCACCATCTTCCCCTCCTGCTCTATCAGCCTCCATGTATCTGTGGAGATCCATTCCTTCTCTTGTTTCTCCTTCCTTCCTAACACGGTTGTGCAGAATTCCTTCCACTTCTCTTTCAAAGACTTCCTGTGTTCCTCCACGCCCAATCCTTCAGGGATGTTGCTTAATCTCTCCCACTTTCTTCTGATGGCTGACGAGAAGATATGCTTTGTATTTTTGTCCTTCAGTTTCTGGGTGTTGAACTTGACTTGTGGTCTGTCACCAGCTTCTTTGAGGGCTTACATCTTGATTTTGAGAGTTCCTTGCACAAGATAGTGAGTGGTGTGAATTTACATCTACTCTTCTTCACGATCTTATGTCCCGTAGGATGCATCTCCACTTTCTTTAGATTGAGATGAATTCGATCTGATTTTAAGTGTCTCTGGTGTCTGATGAAATCAAATCCATGTCGCGTTGTGAATATCTTTGTTTTTGTGCACAGTGCCTCCAACCTCCAACTCATTAAATGCACAGAAGGCTGCATACGGTTGTCCATTCTCGTTCATTGCATGACCGATGATTGGTTCTCTTCATGTGTTTTTTGTAGCATGTTTTGCATTTAGTGCATGCATTGGAATTTCTATTTCGCATTTCTTTGTTGCGTGTTTGTCTGTCTTTCGAGGTTGGGGTAACTTTACCAGCGAGCTTTTAACTCTGCCACATTCCGTGTCCCTATTCTGACTTTCGCTTTCATCGTGTTTAGAGGAGATGCATGGGTCAGTTTGCTTCTCCATGTCTTTCAGCAACCAACAGTATTGTGTCTTCTTGTTTCCAGAATAGAATAATTTTGTTTTTTCATCCTTTGCATTTTTTGGTGCTTTTAATTTCTTTGGCTAATGGAGTTGTTTTTGGTGGTAGCTTTGCTGGTCATCTGCCCAAGTTTGCGTTTTTTTCCGTGCTTAGGACCGGCTATTTAATAATGATATAACTAACATCGGCGACGTTTATATTCCAGAATATTACCTAGAATACTAAACTGCACTTTATTAATGAAGTGAATTTTTTGAAACGTATTAAAATGGCATTAATTTGTAAGCTTTAATATCAAATATGTTGAATGTTTTGATACATAACATGTATTCGCTTTCGATGGAAATGAGAATATTTTTACTCATAGTGACTTTACAGTCAGGGTCATAATCACCTTTTTATATTCGCAGATTGCAGATAAGAAGCATCAACTGAGTATTTCACCCGAAAACGATTTACATTTCGATACTTTCTTGTAAATTTATTATCCCCAGTTTATTCAATGATACATATGGTTTTGTAAATAAAGCAAAGACGAAAACCAAACAAAACAGTTTTCAAATAATATTTGATTTTTGGGTAATCTTATTTTATAACCACCACAAAAGGCATTTCTAAAATGTGATGTCTTTGCCGCAGACACAAATGTCACCGAATTTGACCGGCAAATCAGCTTATGAAGGAATTTACAGAAAAATATAGATTGACGTAAAGCATTCATTAATGATGTTATCTCTTACTCGACGTTTTAGAGGGATTGACTTATTTCAGAGTAATTTTCGCCGTGAATCGACACCAACTGAATAAGAATTGAAAACCTGAAAGCACCAGAGATGCTTTCTCTCAGTTATATACTTTTCGGTTGTACTCAACAACGATGCCACAAAGAATCAAGCTAAGGACCTTCAGCTACTGTAGAGAGTACTTTAACCTTCAGTCGTGCATACATACTACCAATAAGCCCTAAACTAAGAAATAATAGCCTTAAGTGCTGTTACGTTATTTCATATCGATGGAAAACTATTCACCAGGTAGTTTTAACATTAACCACGATATTCCTACAGTTAAGTGTAATAATAATGATCCCCATTTGGATAAATCCTGATAAAATTCTGAATTCATAGTACATAGCATTACAACAAAATGTACTCCTTTACAACATTTGGAATAGTGTTAATAATTGCAATTTACATTACATAAATAATACTAGTAACGAGGATAAGATGCAGTAGAATTACTATATTTAGTCGTACGAGCTCAAAGTTTTCTATAATTTTTTTCTTGTCCTCACTGAAGAAATACAAACAGCAAGTTATGAATAAAGTAGATGCTGGATATGAGATGAAATTACTGTAGGTACTTTCCTGATTAAATTCAAATACTTGTGAAGTACAGTATTAAACCATCTGGGTCATAGTTACACCAGACACCATACTGATAGCTCTCGAAGCCTCAAGCACTATTACATATAATGTTTTTTTTGTAGACTGAGAAAGATCATCGGAGAACAATTAAGTGAAGTAAATATAATACAGGAAGGAAATAATAAATTTTAAAAATGAAGGCTGAGTCATATCACACAGCTTCAGCTTCTGTATGTAATATGTAAACGACAACTTTTCTTTGAAGTCAATGATATATGAAACGACCAACAACCACCAGAAAATCTCAAACCAAGATCGGAAACACTGGATATACTTTCTACAGTACTACTATCAATACTATTGAGATCATGAAACCGAAGTAGCTCAAACAAATCTTCATTACGTCCAAGAATAAAATGAAGTCTGACACTTGGAAGCGTTAAGCTTGAGATCATTTAAAGACCACTGGCCAATTTCAGATGAAAAGCCATTCCTTTGAAAGCAATCTCACTGGGAGATAATTGGATCAGTGACTATCAGGTCACCAACATAATTAATGAAATACTGTTTCATAGAGAAAGTTAGGCTGTTTAGAAAGAAAGTAAACACAAATGAA